CCAAAGGAGATCGGTGCGAATATTCGGAGACCTGCAAACTCATTCCGTGCAAAAATAATGGAAGATGCCTGAGAAGTGGGCGCTGCTCGTGTCCAAATGGTTGGGGCGGCTTCTACTGCGAGATTGGTAAGTGCTCCGAAAAAAGAAGTAACCAGGAGGTCAATAACCATAAGCACGGCTTATGATTCAGCCTATTTTTGCTTTGGCTACAATAGAAATAAAACATTTTAATGCCAAGAAAAACAAGTTTCATAAATCTTCGCACAGCTTCAAGTTCAATTCCCAAAAATGTGTCACGAGTAAAAGTTTGTTTTCGCAATTCCTACAGAAGCTAAAATGATTTTATTATTATTTTTGCTTATTTTTTTATTGTTGATCTCTTTTTGTGGGTTTTGTTCTGCGGAGTTGTAGTTGTGGGGCAAACAAGTTTTGAAGCCGCATAGTAGAACAACATTATTATTATAATTAGAGATTGACGGCAGCAGAGAAAAACCATTAACAGCGGCATTCTGGATGGTTCAGTGCACAGCGGGGTCAGGAAATTGGTTGGCCAAAAAATAACACAGAAATTAGCGATCTGTGATTCACAACAAAAGCAATAAAGGGCACTCAAATCTGAATAATTATACTAGAGATGGAGGATAATTAAAACTTGCTATGACTCAAAGTAGAGAGCTCTTGGTTTTTAGACTTATTCATTGTGCAGCATATGAATCAGAAATAGATTTAGCTGTAATTTTAACATAATTTTTCTAAACTTTACAATTTATTCAGACCAGCAATCTTGTAATTTTAAATGTCATTTTAATTTCTAGTCTCTCAGTAAATTAAAAAAACCTTTTTTTAAGCTCTTATTTCAAAACTTCATAATGATTTAAATTGATCCCTTCCTTTTTAAATTAATGGTTTCATCTAGTTCAAACCATAAAAAACGCAGTTTCTGTAACCTTTACCAACAGTTTTAAATAACCAATCCGTAAATTCAATCTCTTAATACCCCCTCTTAAATGCAACATTATTTAAAATGATAATGGCACTAACCGAAACATCAATCAAGCATCTGCGAAACAAGCTTTTTGATTATATGATATCGGCAGATGCGTTTTTTGTTATTTCTTTATCCATCGAATGTTATATGTGGATATTCAGCCGTCTGCCTTTCACTTATTAGCAAATTGTAAATTAACATGCCACAAAAGCAAGTTTAAGTTGAAATTGAAGAAATGCAAGTTGGTGAAGGGAAAATGAAAACTTAAGGGGAAATTCCGGAAAAACTCAGAAGGTAGATCAACAAAAATCAAGAAGTTTGGGAAAGCGAACAGATGCTGAAAGATAATAGAAAAAGTGAGAGGAAGTGTAAAGAAAATTAATAACCGCACGATAATAAAGATTAATCTCTGCTTCAAGTTCAGGTTCTGAAGATGATTCATAACGAGAAAAAACTGGAAAGTAAGGGAAGTTGAAGAAAATGCTGACGAATAGTAGAAGAGAAATTTGAGGTATAGAAGTCGACACAGAAATTAAAAACATATATGTATCTATTATTAGATTGGGAATAACTTAATATTTCTTACACTTTAGTTATTGGGTTTCAGTTAAGGAACTTATAATATTTATAAGTTTATTTTAGACAAATATGTAATCAAAACAATTTTTTTAAACTAGAAAAAGTAATATGTTAAATGATAAAACCAATTATTTTTGTCTTAAAATGAAAACTAAATACAAATTTGTGATAGAAAAGTCTTTTTTTCTAAGTACTTATAAGAAAACCTTCAGGTAGGTAAGAAAATATATTGAGCCAGTCTAAACGGCTGATGATGGTAGGCTTATAAACGAGATCAGGGCCCAAAGATGAGGATTTATAAAGCGAAACAAAAGACGAAGACGAACAATGCAGCCGGAGCGGCAAGCTGATGCTGTAATTTAATTATGTATCGCATGCAATATGTTTAATGCAACGCGAGTGTGTGTCTGCTTCCCCTACTCCCCGCCGCAATATTATATTATATTTTTTCTGATTTTTTTCTGATTTTTCTAGCCATGAGCAAGCCGACGACGCCGAGCTTCCGTGGCAACAGTTACCTGATCTTGCCGCCGCCGCGAATTCCGATGAAAGACAAGAGACGGGGACCCTCTCTATATGTCCGCCCCCGCGAAGCCATCCAAGTTTCGCTGAATTTCTCCACCATCGAACCGGACGGTCTGCTCCTGTGGAGCGAGCACGAGAGGAGCAAGTTCCTGGGCCTGGGACTGGAGGCGGGTCACCTGAAGTTGGCCAGCAATCTGCTGGGCAGTTCCAACGATACGGTTAGGGCCCCGGCCAGCGGATTTATAGCGGATGGAGCCTGGCACTGGACGAGTGTTCTGTTGGATCGAACGAGGCTGGAACTCCAGCTGGACGGCGAGGTGATCTTCACGGAGAGATTACCCGAAAGTGGAAGATCCCTGGCCTCGACAACCCCGAGAACAACCATAGCGGGCAGGCGCAAAAACTCAAACAAGGAGCCTACAATTAGCTATGAGGATGTCTTCTACTTGGGTGAGTATAAATATTAGAAGAAATATTTTGATCCCAAATTTATTCTGAACTAACATTAAGAAACTAAGTAAAGTAGATATAAGCTCTACAAGTAAATGAAAATATCCCAAAATTTCTAACGTTTTCTGAAATTTCCTATTGAAATGCCTATTTTACAATAGTCTCTTCCGTTTATAAAGAGCAAATAAAATCTTAAATGTCAGGGTAATTACAATAAAATATCATATCCCCTTAGCAATGTTTTATAAACTATCACATAAATATTTACTTACCGGTTTACCACAGGTCCAATTACTTTCAATAAGTTATCATACCTCCAACTTTTTTAAACATAATGCACAAACAAATAACTGGTCAAATAGTTGATATAATGCAGTTTTGTTCTCATAAAACTAACATAGACACTAAACGGAAGTGAAAGTACGCGTTATCGATCGATGTTTGTTTGATACTATTAGCAACAACGAAGTTAAGTTGATTTGAACAGATTTTAATTATCAAAATGTTATTCAATTCACTAAACACTTAAAACATCGACTTCAATAGTTGTTGAAAAGTCGCGATCCGAATAAACACTGACTTAAGCCGGGCTGCCAACTCGGTGCCTTGAAACAGCTGCTTTTCCGATAGTATGTTAAGCAATATCAGCTGTTAAATATTTTTTAACATTATTTTTAGTTTAATGATTCCTTACAAAGTCAATATCATAATTAGTAACGCATCCAGATCCTAAAATAAATATGTAATGTCACAAAAGTATTGCTGTTAGGCACACAATTAAATTTGTACTAGCTTAAAAAGTTTAAGGTTAAGAAATGTTGTTTTTTTTAAACACTATCTAAGATTAAAAACCTTAAAAAAAAAGAAAACCAGTTACATACCTTAAAAACTAAGCGTTGAATTTAAGCTTTAAAAGAAAAAAACATTTGACATTTCTTAGTTTTAGCATTTCAACATTATGTTAGTCATGAAAGTGGGCTGTTAGGCGCAACATGCCGTGTGCTGTTATCCCCAACATAACTACATTTTCCAGCACTGGCAACTATTCAAATTTAAATTCAAATTGATAAGAGTGTTCTTTTCTCCTTTCTCACAAAACAGGCGGATTCCCCAACTCGGACTCGGTGAGCAGGCGCACAAAGGGCCGGTTCTTCGATCCCTTCAAGGGCTGCCTGCAGGACATTCAGTTTGGAGCCGAACCCACAGCGATTATCAGCGATTTCTCGACGTACCAGGGCGAGAATATCGGATCCTGTGATCTGCACGGCGATGAGCCGCTAATTGTATAGGAAACGAAATCAAAAGAGTACGGCAAATTCGCAGTTACCAATCTGTAGAACACTTTGATCAATTTGGACTTTCTATAGAACCTAATTGACGACGCGATATATAGAGAGAACTACTTGTAAGCTAAGTGATAAGCGAGTTTATAGAGAAAGTGGGTGGTGGGGGGAATCCCCTTCCCGCCGGAATCAATATATACACACAGTTTTGGGCAAAGCTATCGATAAAAGACAGACGAATAAAAGACAAGAAATGGAACGTAATTTTGTAAATTTTATAGAAATAAATGAAAAACAAAAAAAAGACAAAATGTTTAGACTTAAACCGTGGAAACAAACAACAAATTAACTGGTTTATCAAAACAATACAAGAAGCAAAACTAAGACAAAATTTTAGACTAGGATCTATATCTAGAAAATACCGATACCAGATACAGATATAAACTTCTCTTACGTAAGTGATATTTCAAGTGGAATAACGATAATGGATAAACGATCCAAAAAGCAACTTAACTTATCTGTACGTATATTGTTTTTGTTGAGCCAAAACTTTTGTTATGCAATCGTTAGCATTTGTGTTATACAACCGATAACTAATATTATTTCCCCAAATTTCACTACTCTTTCTATCTACGAAAACTGCCCTCAACGAGCTTCTGCCATTTTTAGTTGTTTAACTATAAAGCTTAATTTAGTTAATTGGATGTTCGACTCCTTGTTATCTGTGTTCGTTAAATAGCATAAAAATCTCCTGATTGAAGCCATTTAGTTGCCTTGTAGTAAGTTAGCGTATACTCTCTATGATTTATCTTGAACTAACTCAAAATCGAAGTCGACTATTCTAACAAGAAATCAAGAGGCATACGGAAAATCTATGCTAGTCACACAATATAATTATTCTTATAAATGGGAAACCAAGTAGCGAGAAAGATACAAACAAACAAAAATATATATACAATACTTATACAATACGAAACCAAATGAAAATTGTAACCAAAACTGTAGGTTAAGTATGTATTTATTTCGAGAGAAATCTTAATCAGTTATAATTTTAAATAAAAAAAATGGGAATTAGAAAGGTTAATAAACTTAAAAGATGAGTTTTGTTTTATGCGGGATCTTGGGAACTGGTTTTCAAAGCCTGTAAAATTTAATTTCAAAAACTTATTACTATAAACTGCAATATACATTTTTAACTTTATCGGTCGATCAACTTCAAAAGAAACTAGAATGAAATTATAAATTCAATAAATAAATACTGATTCAACCAAATTTTACTCAAAGCGAAATCCGATCATCGAGTGTTTTGTTTACACTTTCAGGAGGTACAAAAATTCGGGCATAGTTGTTGACAAGGCACGTGTTTGCTTATTTTCCACATATTATTCTCATTTTTCATCTCTGGGATTTTGATTATGCATTCATTTTATTGTTTATAAACATGGACGACAAAGTCGGGGATTCCCAGATGTAACAATTATTCATTATACAATAAATCTATGTTTTTCAACCAATTTCGTGTCGACGTCCCTTTTTATTTACAAATACCAAGACGACCTTCTATGCTTGAGTAATGTTTTCGCATTTCGTATAGCAGTTGCTGAAAAAACAAACTCTAAGCTTATCACGAAACCGAATAATCGCAATTCAACTAACCGACTTCGAGAAAGCAGCCATGGACATTCAAGTTGGTGATGGCGGATGTCTCCCAAAAAATCAATCCGTTTCTTTCGGCATATTTCTCCGCCTCTTCTGTAGACACAACTCGATTGTCTGGTATATCAGCTTTGTTGCCAACTAAAGCTATAACTTTTCTGGGCTTCTGTGTCTAGAAATTATAAGCAAAATTAATTTTTTTGTAAACTGAACGAAGGAATATAGTCCCACCCAATCATTGAGTTCTTCCGCCAAATGTATCACGTCGTTATAGCTTTTTCGATCATGAATGTCGTATACTAGCAGGGCACCTTCATGATTTGTGTATTGCTTCTGAACTATCTCCTTGAATCTGCACCAAGTTAAAATAATATAAAAATAATAACATATTGGGCTGAAGAAATCGAGCTTTTATTTAAAAAATAACATATTGCACTGAAGAATTCGCGCTTTTATTTGAAAAATAACATCATGCGCTAAAGAACTCGCGCTTTATGTTTTAAAAGCCATTAAAAAAGAATAATAATACTTGTAGAAAGAATCATCTAAAGTACAATACTTTATTTCATTGATCTGACCAATTTATGTGAAACTTACCGCTCCTGACCCGTTGTATCCCAGATCTTCAGTCTGGTAGTTACATGGGGTTCAATAATGGTTTTTATCAGAAACTCCACTCCCACTGTACGTTCAATTTTTGCAGGAATATCACCATTAACATAGAGCGAGAGTAACGATGATTTTCCAACGTTGGAATTACCTAGAAGGACGACCTCAGAGGAAAATATTTTCTCCATCATGGATCGATCCGCTTTGAAGGAGCTCAGATTCTTGACTAATTAATCGAATCCTGCAATGATTATTTGTAATCCCCCCTTGAGGCTTGGTGACAATTAATTCGTCGTCATCCATCATATTTTTATTATATTTACTCAGCTACTTATATTATCTCCAAAGCCGTATCAGGAATCCTACCTCCTGAACCAAATCTTAAAACCGCAAGAACGCAGCGCTTCAACAACAGTCCGCTACGCTTCCGAAAACAATTTTGAATAACCCTAGAAACCCGAATGTGAAATACGAATATCGACTCATTCTCGATTCAAATCGAATGACTTCATATATATACGGATTCATATATATATATAAGTATATACGATGTTTTCATTTATTATAATTTATAAATGTTAAATTTAAATACATACAGACAACATAAAAATTATGAATTGGAAAGAAATAAGCGTCGGATCAAAGATGTTTTGTGAAACGATTTAAACAAAGTTGTTTATGGTATTGTGTTGTTCGTTTTATTTACGTTTGTTTACTCTTTGCATTATAGTAAAGTATTTCAAGGTTTATGTTTAAGATTTCACTTTACTTCCTCCGCTTAATTGCATACTAGATGTAAGTTTAATTTTTATGGTTTACGATAGTTTCTCCTTTCTCGTTCATGTTTAAAGATAGTAGCATTAAATCTTCGATTGTTGCTAGAATATGGAAAAATAGTTCAACGCAAGACGAAATTAAAAAAAATAGTTAAAATTATGCATAATTTGTTTTTTTTTGTGGTTTTTGTTTTTTTCTTTCATTTTCATATGTGTATATATAATTTATATAAATTGCAACTATCACACGTGTCCGCCGCGACCCGGAGTCGAATCCGCATCCGCATCTGCATCCGTGGATCCGAGTCTGGAATCCGGAATCCGTGCTCCGGAGCCGGAGAGACACACACATTGCCACAGGCCGAGGCGAGCGAGGATCTTCAGCCGCTGGCCTGAACTTTTGCTCCTTGTGGTGTTTGTTTGTTTGTTTTATTTGTTTATTTGGAACGCTGCTGAGAACAACTGCAACTGGAATCTTCCCTTCACTTAATTCGCTCAGAAACTTACACGAAATGTAAACTTTACAAATATTCTTTGCTCGCTTAGATGGTTTCCTTATTTTTTTCTTATTTTTTTTATACAATACAATTTCAAACTTTCTACGACACGATGAACTCTGCAAAAACCTGCGCTTTCTCTTCAAGTTGTATTATTTTGCGTTGTTATTTGAAATGGTTTATGTTGGTATTATGTTGATAGTATAGCTCAATTTCGGGGGCGTGTCAGTTTTCTCTTTTGGACAGATATCTAGTCTAATTAGGGGAATTGGTTTGTAACTAACATACTTCAATTGCAACTTTCGTTTATTTTGGGTAGGGGCGACACCTTCGTATTTAGTTTTTATTTCTTATTATGCGGTCTTTATCATTATTGGTTTTGGGGCTCTCAAATGAAATTACTGCCGGAGACAGTACGGGAGGAGAGTCGATATTTCTTTCTGATTCTGTTGAATTTTTAAATAATTTTTTTATTTATAATTATCAGCATAAACTTTTCAAATCTCTCGTTGAAAATTTCATTTTCTATAAAAGCAGAGAATGCATTATTAACCGGAACCAAGTTTCGGTTGGGTTGGACTAACCTACAAAGGGACATCACTTGCAGCAGTTGTTCGTCGGTCGATTTGTCTCGGTTCCAGTCGGCCTTATGCTGGTTCCTTGATTGTTGGCGCCATCGTTCTTAGGTAGTTTCTTGGCTGTAATTGGGAAAGCGATTAGCAAAGTTTTCCACAAGTTTCTCAGTAATATCCTACCAATGGCCAAGAAGATGTCGTTGACATTCATGCCCGTCTTGGCGGACGTTTCCATGAACAGCAGTCCGTTCTCCTCGGCATATTGCTTCGCTTCATCGAACTCCACGACGCGAATGTTTGACAGATCGGCCTTGTTGCCGGCCAGCGCAATGACAATGTTTGGTGAGGCCTGGAAAAAATTAGATTAGATTATTAGTCAAATGTAGTAAATAGTAACAGCCATTTTCAATGTTTCTGTTGTACATGGAAACATAATTTACACCTATTAGTTTTCCAATGGCCAAGAAAAATAAATAAATAAATCCAATGGGGCGTGAAGGAATGCCAAATGTCTCGAATCAAGTTCAATGCGCCCAATGGGGGCACAACAACAAAGAGATTTCACATTCATTCAACAATGAAACTCTCTGCGCGAGATAGCATTGACCTTGATATTGAAAGCGGAAGAGCTGACACTCACTTGTTTATGCAGTTCCTTGACCCAAGTCTTCGCACGCTGAAAACTGTCCTGATTCTGTATATCATAGACGACGATGGCGGCCTGCGCTCCCCGATAATACATGGGAGCTAAGCTGTGGTATCTGCAAGTGCAAATAGAGGTATGTTTAGTCAGGGTTTAACTCCCCCTATAGATGCGCTTAATTGTAAATGAGGCGGCGGCATATATTGTGTGGAAGCACTGCTGCTGCATCGTTTACACAAAGCTCACACGATTAAGCTATTGGTTAGATGGTTTATCCATCGATAATTACCGCTCCTGACCAGCCGTGTCCCAGATCTCGAACTTGACGACGGTGTCCTCTATGCAAATGGTCTGTGTCAGAAAGGCCGCACCTATCGTGCTCTCCTGGTACTCGTGGAACTGTCCCTTGACGAAGCGCAGCACCAGGGATGACTTGCCCACGGCGGACTCGCCGAGGAGCACCAACTTGAATTGGCAACTTTTGTTCTGCGAGGTGCCATTGGGTCGCTGCGCCGTTCCAGTGCCGCTGGCACCGCCGCTGCGTGGAGTGGTTGCCATGATCGGTTTGGATTGGATCGGATGCGGATGCGGCTGCGGTCTTCCTCCTCTGAGATGGCAACTGGTGATTGGTTCTACGGACGGTTACTGCAACTCACTCCCGCTGCTGAGTAAGCCTTTCGGAAAGATTGCTGGTGAGTGTGGATGTGGAATCTAAAAGATACAATACATTGAATAAATCTTTATAATACTGAGCTTATAAAGTGATACCCTCATTTCTGAGTTGAGAGTGTTATTAAAGTTTATATTATATATAAGGGTAGGTTTAAGGTTATTTTTCATTCCAGAATACCAATTCTTTCATATATGGACACATGATAATCCAACAGGAAAACGTCAGAGGACTGAGTGGCGCCTTAGTTTGTTCAATGACGCCGTCGACAAGCCCAGTAAGTTTAATTCAATATGTAGATACATATGTATATCCGACAATATGCATAAAAGGCCGCCATCATCAGCCATCATTACAGAAAACAGAGAAAAAAAAACGCCGCAAATGGTAATCAATAAATCCAATTGAAACAGAAAGCAATACGCCCTACAAAAACTCTCAACTGTATAAAAATTACTTAATTCCAATACATTCCAACACATCAGAAAATTAATCATTTGCATTCGTGTTCCCTAGCAACATAATAACACTGATAAGTAAGTGATAAGTCAAACTTTCGGAGAAAGAACAAATCCGCCAATAGAATTTTCAATGTCAGGAAATGAATAGTGTTCGCTGGTCGTCTTCAAACACTAACAAACACAAACTTGGTTAATTGCATGTGCAAAAACAAACACAGCAACAACTAAAAATACTTTGGCAAACACAAAAGGGAAACCTTAGAAATGTTGTTTAGGCGCAATTATTGTTCTCCCTTTCTTCGGGGGGAAAGGGTTTACAAATAAACGAAACTACAAAATTCTTATCGGTCTATTGTTTGGGAAATCTTGGTTATCGCAATAAATATTTATTGCAGCTCCTTAAGGGCTACCAGACAATTGATAATGATATTTTCTGATAAAACTATTTTGAGAGCGGGTTATTCACAAATGTAATTATTTTGTGTATATACATAGTTTAGTTATTATATACTATATAGACAACGCCTCGAGTTATTCAAGGGGAATGCGTGTGGCTCTCACAATCTATCTGTTATCAGTGTTATTCATATGAATCATACGCCCCATTGGCCCCCGTTTTTTTCTGAAATGAGGGTTTATAATAATATTCTAATTACTTGTTAATTCAAATGTGGCACAATAGAGTTGCATTAAAAATTCTTTATAATAAAATTGTTTTATTTAGGACTTGCCCAAAACAAAATATTTAAAAAGTTAAATTATAAAACAAATTGTTTCAATAACAGTCAAATATCTCCGTTATAACGTTAAAATAGTCCCATCTTTAAGAAGCAGTTTTAGATTTTCTCCATAAGTTATAATTTCAGTACTATATAACGCTGGGAGATCTCAGATTTCCGACAATAATTAATTAACACATTGAAGCCAGACTGTACAGTGGAGATAAATCTACGAAGATCGTGGGATGGAATTCTACACGAATCTTGTTTATTTTGTGGAGAGAAGCGAGTTTAATGCGGAAAGATGGAGGATGAGAGAGAGCGTGAGGGCGGAAGCTGTGATAAAAATCAATGCAAAATAAATTAACGAAGGAGAGAAGCGGAGAAAGTAAAAGCGTGACAAACATTGCTGTTGTTGTTGTGCGGCGTTATTAAATTAACAAGGAAGGAGGGAGAGCGAAATATGCAGGCCCTCTCTCTTGCACTTTAAAAATGCAGTCAGTCAACAATTGTTTGTTGCTCCCTTCCGCTCCGCCCCCTTCTATTGTTTTCATGTCAGAGACATTGGAGCAAAGTGCACCGTCACACACTCACATACACACAAAGAAAAGCCGCAAACTTGTTCTCTCTTTTTTTAAATTCTCTCACTGGCGATAAAGACATTTCGCCTGCAATTACTTTTGGTTGTACAGCGAATGACGTATTTTGCATTTCAATGCGTCTATTAGAAAAACCGGATTTTAAATTTAATTAAAACAAGCAGTTTCCAATGCGGAATTTTCCATAACCAGACAGCTGGCAGAAAATAACTCACCGGAAAAGGTATAAATTCATCCAACTCTAGTTAATGCGGTTTATTAGACCCTTAAGACACTTAAAAAACAGAACTGGCCTTCGCGCCCGTCTGCGGAAAATTCAATAAAATATAAAACAACGTTCAACGATGGGTTCAGGAAATTACGGTTCTTTTAGAACAGCTGACGATGCGTCATTCACACGTACCAACACAAACACAACGCATCAGAAGAGAGAATGAGAGCGAGAACAATGGGGGTCAATCAAATAGAAGTGAAGAATGTCAGCAATAATCAATGAAATTTACAAAGTAACATGGCATAAAAGGAAAACAATCCCTGTAAAAAGATTGTGAGAGAAAACTATACTGTTTCAATTAATTTGCAGTTCATTCAATATATTTAACTTTTAAAAATATTTCAAATTTTACATAAAACATATGTTTCTTTCAATTATTCACAAGCTTATTGTTTTAGGTAAAAACATCAACTTTAAAATAAATATTCATTCAATTTGACTTTATAGCCACTATTTACTTGCCCTTGACTGTGGAATTGCCTCACTCGAAAAGTCAACAAGTGCAATTTTCTCAGCACGCATATTCCAAGCACGTCTAAAAAACTGGGAATACAATTAGCGTTATATTTACAGTCACACATACCACTCGGTAAATATGTATTGTATGACAATTGCGGCTCTCTTATTTGCAAACTGAGCGAAAATGTCTTAAATAAACAAATGTAAAAAGGCGAACAAATAGAAGATGCGATTTTGTTTACATTTCGGCTTATGGGAAAATTATGAGGGGAAAAGTGGGAGGAGAGTATTTTTTTTTTAGACTTGGACGATAAGAAAACGGATTGCAGATAAATACACATACACACACACACTCACGTAGACACATACACCCGCACTCTCGTTAATTAAGACGCAAAACAAGCTGGAACAAAGAATCACAACTTTCGCTCCCTTCTGGTGTTTAAGGCCCTAATAAATCGAGTGATAATGAGGACCGATCCAATTCGATCAGCTTTATTCCATGCTCAGTCCAGTGCACCTGCAGTTTTCTTTATCTTTCAACAATGGAAATCCAGCACTATTCCAGCCGCTGCGACCCACTGTGCCGCTGCACTTGGTCATATGGCCGTCTCGCTCTGACACCCGCCCTCTTGGGCAACGCACCCAAAAATTCAGGGCCAGCTATCGCACTCGCTCTCACACTAACACTATGGCGGACAGGGCGAATTTTTACACAATTTTACACAACTTTCTTAATTAATTGCGGGTGGTTTCTCAGCGAAAACAACAACGCAAAACCTCTCGGAGCCACGCACTTTTAAACGCGTCACTTGAAGTCCTTTAATCTAAAAGCATTTACGTTTTTTCCCTTCGATTCAGTGCCCCAAACAGCCCCAAAAGACGAAGCGAAACGAGCAGAGGGAGATAGATAACTGACGACTTGACTCGCCTCGCAAATTTATCGTCGCCAGTCTTGTTTTTGTCGATTGATTTCCTGGGCGACGTCACCGCTGGGGGGCCGCTTTTCCTTTGCTTTTCCCGTTTTTTGCTTTGTTTTGCTGCCTTGTAAATGGCCGAGGAATTTGCGTGGTTTATTTTTATTGGCAAACTTGACTTACAATTTTCTTGTAGCGATGGGTTTTGGTCGATGAAACCATCGATGTTCGATATTTCCAAAACTTTAGAAAAAATCGATGTTCGTGGCGACTATCGTCGTATTTACCTCAGTGAAATGTTAACGAAATGTTAAGATACAACAGTTTTTAACGGCTGTCGCCAGTTTTCTTATCGAATAAAACATCGGTGTGATCCAAAACATACCAACGAATTTTTGTATTGGCTAGCACGGACTCCAACCAATTAATATAATTTCCTAAACTTTCAGCAATCAATTATACAGTATCTTATCGATAGTTAGAGAGCTTAAGCGGATGTACCCACCTAGTATCCTGGTGAAAACATATTAAAAATATCGTATCGATGATCTATAACTTTTTAGAAAAATTTAAATGGATAACTTGGCTATATCGAGTATTTATGATAGTTTTGTATTTCAATTAATTTTATGTTTAAGCCCCCGTAACATTTATCATAGTTATAAAGAAACAAGTTCTATTAAACATTCCGTAAAATTTCAATAAAGTTTATAGAGACATTTTTAAGATACAAAGGAAAAAACGAATTTTGGTACTGAAATGTATAAGCTATTTGTTTATTGGAAATCACTTTGGTACTTAAATGTAGAAATGTAGAGTTTATGCCTACATTTCTGACACGCGAAGCAGCATGACAGGACAGGCGTGTGCCACAAAGAGTATTTTTGACAAGATGAAAGAGTTTATTGAAATGTATAAACAAAGTGAATAACAAATACCGATATATATTTATTTTTATTTAAAAATATCGATACATATCGATGTACTTTGATGTATTTTTCACATCCCTAACTAAAGTGAAGTAGTAATAACATTGCGAGAAAAGACGTGAAAATTTTGACAAAAGTGTGAAAAACTGTGAAATTAGTTTTTGAAACTAAAGTTAATTTCGAGCCGTAGCGAGCGGACGGACTAAAGTGATTGAAGTGAGAATAAGCTACTGAATATCGTGTCCTGCTGCGCCTCCTGCACGCACACACTCGCACAGCCCTGCACACACACACAGAAGCACGCACACAGTTGCGCCTGTCGTCATCTCGCTCGCTCTCCGATTTTTTTTTCTGTCGCAGCTGCAACGCAAATCCGAAAAAGGATAATCCCCACCGATCTCGCGAGTCCTGTGGTTGCTCCTGGAGCGGAAATACAGCCGCAAAGGTGGGCCCCCAAAATTCAGCTAATCAATATTGATTTCGGCAAGCGGTGTGTCTACTTTTCGGGTGCTCCTATTTTATTGTGTGCGAAATTCTCGGGGATCCAGGATTTCAAAGGATTCTGCACACGCACACGCACGATTGTGCTTGCAAATACAGTGCTCACTCGAGAAAGTGAACCAAGAAAAAGAAGAACTAATTTATTTTTAAACCATTACACGTACACAGAAAAAAATGGGCCTTTTACTTAAATGGCTGCAAATTATCGAATCCGGTACTCGCAGTTAAATTGATTTGCTACGCTCTAGCGCAAAAATATTTATTTCATTATAACCATGTTAAGCATAAATACATTAAAAAAAAAATGGTTTCTATTAAATATATGCCAATTTTTTTTTAATTTCTTCACTTAATAAATGTAACACTCCAGAGTGTCCACTTCTGCGAGAGAACACTGTATATACACACCTGATCTAGAAGTTTTCGCTACCTGCGAACGGATTTCCCCCACTGCACATTATATAAAACAATTTTCCTACTTTCTTGCAGATGATGACCGTGGGAAACTCGAAGATCTAGGGAGACCAAGTGCTTTTTGCGTCCAGTTTCGGGACTTCGACACGAATAGCATGTTCAGTCCTATCAAAAAGATATTCACGTATATACAAAAAAATGCGAGCGGCTCCAACATGTTTAGCCCATCAGGAAACACGACAGCCGGCCAAAGGGAGGAGGCTCCCAGCTTAAGTGCCCACGACGAAGGCGGTACAAAGGAACAGGACCAGGATCCTGAGCAGGAGGACGATCAGAGCGATCAGGAACAGCAGCAGCAGCCGCTGCATATCCTGCCCCAATTGAACGATGACGAGGACGACATCGAGAGGCAGATCAAGACCTCCATAATCCATGCGACCAAGAAGGTGCTTGTGGCCAAGGCCAAGGCCTTGGGCTCCTTACCTCTGCCCCTCGAGCAGCTAGACGATGAGCTGGCGGACTTTGCCCACGGCCCGGCGGACACCGAACTGGAGGAACAGTTCCTCGAGCTGGAGAACTATCCGAACAACGAGATTATCGTGCTCACCGATGCGGATCTCAACTCTTCCATCGCCTCCGATGCCGTGTCCGAGGATCCGCTGGCAATAGACAACATATTGGACTCCTCGTCGGTCACCACAAACGAGGAGGTCGACACCAGTGGTGAGCTGCTTTGGCTGAAGTTGAACAATGAAACGGAAGTGGCGACAAGTTCAGCGGATGTGACATCCAACAACCAGGAATCCCTGCAGCCCGCCAAACCGGTTAAAACGAAGGAGGATGAGCTGAGAGACGGTGGATCCGATTCTGGATTGGGCAGTGAGACGTCCGCATTGCTTAAAGATCAGGCGGAAAAGGAAACCGAGCCAGAAGTCCAGGAGAAGCAGGAAACCAAACCCATCAGATCCAATCTCAAGCGCAGGCTGGAGGATTCGGAAAGCGATGCTATAGATCAGTTGCCCGACATGTCGGCTCCGCCTTTGGTGGCCCAAAAGCGAACCAAGCGCTCCATCAACTTTGACGAGGTGAAGGTGTTCTACTTTCCTCGGCAACAGGGCTTCAGTTGCGTGCCCACAGCTGGCGGATGCACCTTGGGCATGGGTGCCAGGCACATAGCCTTCAAGACGATGACCCTGGCCGAGCATGCAGCGGAATTGAGGCGGGCACATCGCAGCCAGAACCAGGACCTCCAGCCTCGCGGCTCCAGCAGTGATGACAGCGAGGAATCCGAGGAGGATTACCTAAGCGAGGGTAGTGGTTCCGATGCGGAAGACGGTTCCAATGGCTTCCTCCAGCCTGTGACTCCCAAGCAACGCAGAGCCCTGCTTAAAGCAGCGGGTGTGAGGAAGATCGATGCCAACGAGAAGAGCGAGTGCCGTGACATCAGAAACTCGAGGGAGGTTTGCGGCTGCTCCTGCAGGGAGTTTTGCGATCCGGAAACCTGTGCCTGCAGCCAGGCCGGTATAAAATGTCAAGTGGACCGAGCCATGTTCCCTTGCGGATGTACGCGCGAGGCTTGTGGCAACACAGTCGGCCGGGTCGAGTTCAATCCCACAAGGGTGCGAACCCATTACATCCACACGGTGATGCGCCTGGATCTGGAGCAGCGGCAGGGCTCCGTGCAAGGGGTCGTCCAGGGAGGACATCTCCAGCCGCAACAGCAGCAGCAATCCCAGCCGACCATCAGCTATTCCCCAGTGGGAACGGCCGCAACAGCTGCGTACTTCCTGCATACGCAATCGAACTACAGTTCCGGTTATGCTTCTCCAGCCTACACGCCCGAGAGCAGTGTAAGCTACTATCAACAGCAGCAGGGAGTGCCCACGCCGGGTCAGGTGATCCCCCCGCCGCAGCAGCAGGCGCAGGGCCAGACCTACCCGGGTTACGCCCAGTTGGACAGCCTGGATTCGGGCCTCTTTGCCAGTGGCACCAATGCCACGCCCTCGTACGGAGAGCTATATCAATCGCTTAGCTACGGCAGCACTCAGGTAAGCGGAGCTCATCTTTAGAAGCTCTAGTTTGGTTTTTACTCTTATCCATCACAGATCACTTCCTATCCGACCGCCTACCAGCAGCATTCGCCGTCACCCGCCGTCGTTGTCGCCTCCGGATCAGCGAGCTCTTGCGCCTACAGCTCGTGTGCGGTGCCGTCGGTTCCGCCGTATGGCAATGCAACGACCACCGCCTCCAGCAATGCTCCATACCAGACCACCGCTGTCTCCATGACCGCTGCCTCCACCTCCGCCTCGCCGTCACGGCTTGTTAGCACCCCAGTTGGTGCAGCATCCTCGCCAGCCGCTGGCTCAACCACCGCTTCCCCGGCCAACGGCAATGAATTTATCAGTTTGAGCACACCGATCGCCAGTTCCACGCGCCTTTCTCAGATCAACGATCTGCTGCAGCACAACCGCAACACCACCGCCGCCTTGGTGGCCGTCTCCGAGGGATTGAGCGGTGGAAGAGCCGCTTCCAGTGCGTCCACCATCGACTCCATCGATACACCGCCCATTGTGGAGGAGGGCCAGCAGCGGGGATGCATGAGCTTCGAGGCGTTGCCCCCGCCGCTTGTGAATCCAGCGCCCATTGTCGCCGTGGTGGAGAGCAAGCTGCCACCGATGACCACGCTGGCCCTGCCAGCGCCCCAAGCTCCTCCATCTGCCCCACAGCCACGCCAGCCGCTGGAACAGCATCATCCGGCCTTGAACGAGTCCACCTAGAGCAGGGAACGCGCCACCAAATCCAATTTGGGCTGGGTCGATTTGCGGGGTTTTGGTAGATTTTAAATTAAAACGATTCTCAGTGACCTTATTTTGGAAGCTATCATTTTACCAACTAGATTTGTACATTATTGTTTTAACATGGGGATTTGCTAAAAAAAGGAAAGCACTTTTATTGGTAGGCCAGATAATTATAACACATATGTGGGAATTCCAAAAGAACCAAGTAAATTCCTGCTTATTACAAATACTAGATAAATTGTAATATTTTTTATTTGAACTACATTGATTTTTTTCGCTCATTATAAGTACACAAATATTTATCTATTTTGCTCAAGTTAAACTTGCTTGATACCCTTTGAAATTGTATCTTCAGTTGCCGAGACAATATTCTTGAGAATTGCACAAAGCACACAGGAGACCCACCCTTAAATCGGAATAGGAGCAGGCATCGAGAGAGCTGGGAATAGTTTTTATAGCAATTTTACACAGCAAAAGACTTCATTACGTTTAAGGCGGCGACAGGCGTGGCTGGGAAAGGGGGCGAAGGGATAAACAGGGGCAGGAATCAAAATGGACAGCGTTGGCGTCACTCCTTGATTTCAGGAGACCTCTTCAGTAGCGGCGAGAGCCACCAAATCGGGCTCGGACCGCCTTGTATAAATCATTTTATTGTTAAATTCTAATTAGTCTCTAAGTGAATACTGTAATTTAGTTACTTTGTTGCCTAAGTTATGTTCCCTTCGCAAATCCAAGTTATCTTCTACACACTTTTTTTTCCTATTGTGTAATGTAAAACGAACAAAGTATGGAAGGTTACTGTTTAACCTGGTTTTTTGCGTTGCTCCAATGAATTTAATGAGCTGAGAGCCCCGATATCTTCCCCTAAAATTCTGTGTCAAATCTGATTTAGCCCAGCTTAACTGAAATCGATCGTTAACCGATTTTGTGTTTTGTATTTTGCATTTAGTTACGAAGCCAATCTAATTACCTAATGAGTTGAATGAGCCTTTTGTAGAATTATCCTCGATTTAGCTGCGTTTAAGTATTCATTTAGCTCTTAAGTTTCCTCATTTCTGACCTTTAGCGTACTAGCCTTAATGAACCAACAACAACAAATGGCAGCAACCAGAAAAAAAAGAAAAACAGACAAAAGCATCCACAACATGCAGTACGATTTAGAAATATGTATATGCAACTTGATAACGACAAAAGCGAAAAAAATGAAAACGATAAAGAAAAAATAATTGCAATTATTTAAATAAATATTGAATACAAAATAGCAAGATCTGTCTATATTGATGTTTCCAATACTTTATTGATGAGACCCGGATCTATTTCACTTTTTAAATTGAATTAAGACCACGAGGTTAAACTTCATTTCTCAGATCCTCAGTTTACGCTTTCTTGTTTTCATCAATTGTATTATAATAGAGACTTCAATGTTCAGGTAATTAATGGATTAAACTTAGTTATTTATTAATTACTAAGTATTTCTTACTTCCCCCACAGCTCAGACATCAAAGGTCACCCCGATTTGTCGCCGGATCTCATCGGTAATGGCTATTAGCTCCAGACTTTCGGCATGCGTGAATTTCGGACTCTCCAGCAGACGTTTCTCTATGCAGCGACGCACTTCCTCCGCCTCATATCTCAGTCCACACGTGTTTGTGTAGTGGAAATCAAACTTGGCCTGTGGCAAAGGCCATGATTCAGGAGGACCATTGGAGCGACTCAATTGTGTGCAGCACCAGTAATTGGACAGCTGGAAGATTTACAAAGTACGGCTGATAATCAACCTGATCCCGAGTTCAAGACGGGAAAAGTACTGCGATAAGCTCACCTTAATCTCGCCTTTGGTTCCCGTGATGACGGCATCATTTTCTAGATTCTCCAGACCCGTCACCAAAGCCACCAATCTCCGACCATCTCCGTAGTCCAGCATAAACTCACCCTGCACGTCCACGCGATCTTTGTTGAGTTGCGTTCCACTTGGCAGGATTTTGACTGGAGACACACCGAAAATGAACTGTCCCAGCTGCAGGGCGTAGATGCCAATGTCCATAAGGATGGAGCCTCCCAGAGATCGACTGCACAGCCGTTCCATGTGGGCCAAGCGAAAACCATGCTGTATTTTCACCTGGGTCACCTCGCCGATGACATCGTTGTTCAGAAACTCCCTCAAGCGATCGTAGCTGGGAAAGCAACGCGACCACATGCCTGAAATCAAGTAAGGATCCTAATAATATTTCTTAAGTATCTGTTGAATTTTGCAATGTTATTACCCTCCATAAGGAACACTCCCCGCTGTTCGGCCAGAGCATACAACTCCTTGGCCTGTTCCAATTCCAGACACATCGGCGTCTCGCACAACACATTTTTACCCCTGGCCAACATCAGATGGACGACAGCGTAGTGAAATGGATTCAGCGTGCCCACATATACCACATCTACCTCGCGATCCAAGCCCAATGCATCGAAGCCATCGTAATGCCTGGGAATCTGATTTCTTTGGGCGAATTCCTGAGCCCGTTGGCCATCCACATCGGCCACGGCCACCACCACATGGCGGGATTTCTCAACGGTTCCCAGGGCGGTAACGAAATCCTGCGTTATCCTGCCCGCCGCCGCAATGCCCCAGTTCAGATTTGCCTGGCTCTGCATTATAATACCCGGAGTACTGAATGCTATATGGCTGGGTATCCGTATCCGTTCCGTTTTCGAGTGGAGTCGAGTCTCGCGCGGGCTCGTGTCCGGGCAGCTACTGACGCCATGATAATGATACTGAGTGCCAGTCCCGAGGGTCTCCTATCAGTCCCTGGCATCTGCATTCATTGCACATTTTGTATTGCATTCCGGTTGATAAGGAACCAAACAGATCCACACTCTGACGCTCTATAAGTAACACTTTTCGGTGATGATGCTCGGTTTCCTATATATTTGGTAGAGAACATATTAACTACATTTCTGAAAGGACCATCTTCTGAAAATAAATGGACACATTTTTAGAATCTTAGTTCCATTTCAGTTTTCTTATAAAACTGATCACAAGGTGTTCGTCCACTACACATATTCCAAATCTCTAAAGGGCTTTGACCATGAAGTGTTCTACGCAATCGAAATTATCTTATCTCTCAGAACATAGTCGAGCCCCCTTTTTTAACGGCTATCTACAAAAACTGCGAGACTACAAAGCTTTTAAGTACAGTTGCGTAGAGTCTATAAAACAAAAAATATAGGACCTAAAAAAAATTTACGTTTTTGAATCTTAAAAAATAATATATATATTTATAAAGATCTTTTGAGAGGTTGAGAGTAACTTATTTGGACTAACTGAGTAAGAAGTGCTAAAATCTTGATTACAGATAAGAGAACCGAAAACCCAGTGATAAGAAACCCCTGCGTTCTTTTTTTACCAGCCCCTAAATTAAAAGACGCCCACCATGCGGCGAAAACGTGATCAATTGTGAGTACGAGTATAGTCGAGAATGTTGCCATATCATCTACTTTAGTTACACCCCAGGCAGAGTTCGACCTAGTGGGAATGTCATTGCTGCCGTTTCACAATCAATGCTTCGCTTATCGCCACTGTTTGTCAATCCTTGATATGAGTGGGGCATCGAAAAAAATAGAATCGGTGGGGTAAACTTTCTAAGAACAGGTACTACTATACATATGTAATACGAACTTTTAAGATATATCTAGATATGAATAGGTTTTGTTGAGAGCTTATTATGATGGGTTTCTGAGTTAAGAGTCTTTAAGAGATGGTTAGGAAAATAATTTTTACAAAATGTCTGTTTATTATTTTATATTATGGTTACATATTAACTATAGAATCTACTTCTACTCCTCATCGTACTTGTTGAGCACACCGATCTGCTTGCGGATGGTGTCCTCGATCTCGGCGAAGAGCAAACTGTCGGCGTAGGTCACGTTCTTGTTCTCCACATCGCCGGCGATGATGGACTGACGCACTGCCTCCGCCTCGTAGCGCATGGCCTCGGAGTTGGCGTAGTTGGTCGCGAACTTGCCCTTGGGGGGCAGCCACTCCTTCTCCTGGCCATCGATGTCGATCATCTTGTTGGGCGTCCAGAAGTCAATCAGCTAGTAGATAATATATATAAATATATTGGTTTAACGTACTGTACAATCACGATCGATTAGATTACTCACGGTAACTTGTCCTTTGGTGCCCTTGATCACGGCGGTGTTGGACAGTTTTTCCTTGGAGGAGAAGCGCATGCGGGCAGTGCGTCCACCGCTGTAGGTCAAAGTGGCGCTCACATCATCGTCGATGCCCTCGGCGTTCAGGGATCCCTTGGACTCGATCTTCTCGGGCTTCTCCTGGAAGGCCCACTGCGAAACCTGGATGGTGTAGATGCCCAGATCGTAAACCACACCGCCGCCCAGATCGCGTTTCCTATAAAAGATAGTATTCCATTCGTACAAAACTTGAACTTTAATTCAAAAGTACCATCATTGTACTCACTGCAGGCGATCCACATGGGCCAATGGGAAGCCGAAGTTAACCTCCACATCCTTAACTTGGCCAAGCTGTCCACTGGAGATGAGCTCCTTGACATGCTGGTATGAGGGGAAGAATCGCGACCACACGGCCTCCATGAAGAAGCGCTTGTTGGCCTTGGCAGCGGCCAGGATGCCCTCCACCTGCTTCTTGTTCATGGCCAGAGGCTTCTCGCACAGAACGTGCTTGCCATTGGTCAGCATCAGCACAGCCACCTCGTAGTGCTGGGGATTCAGGACACCAATGTAGACCACATCTGGGGGAAGAGAAGAGGAGAAATTAATTTAAAATGTTTCTATTTCAGTCGTGGTCCTTACATACAAATTCTTTGTTCCGTAATCGAATACTTCGGAATATACACTTGAGAATTATAACCGTATTGTAATCGAAATCAATAGAAACAATACGTCGGAATTTAAACTTGAGAATTATAAAAACGATTGAATTGAACTAAAAAAGACTTTCCTAATGAGTTTTCTAGTTTTTAGTGAATATTAACTTTAAACTTATAGTGTAGATTTTATTCCCATAATTTTATAGGACAAGGGGATTATATATTTTATAATACACTCACCGACATCGCCGCTCTTGGCCAGCTCCTCGTAACTTCCGAGTGCCTTGGGGATGGAGTGCTTGGTGGCGAACTCCTGAGCACGATCCAGGGATCGGGCGGCTATAGCCTGCACCTGGTGGTCGGTGGAGGGCAGGGTGCTCAGGGCGATGACGAAGTCCTCGCTGATCTTGCCGGCAGAAGCGATTCCCCAACGGATGAGTTTCGACATGTTGCTGGTTTGTGGGACGGGCTGCGAATGAGTGAGGAGCCGAGTGGATTGTTAGTTAAATATGGGTGGAAACCCCAGAGAACCCTCCTTATCAGCGGAGAATGTGAGAGTATGGAGCGCTATATCTCTCTCCCCACAGGGAGTTTATCTTCCCCCCAATTGTTTGAAAGTAAATCCACCAAAAGTAATTGTTCTATTTCACAATGTTATTGAGTTTGACCTTGTTTGAGTATTACTTGAATTATTCTGGATGTCACCTGTACGACAATCCAAAGTTATCAGTTGATCGAACGAGCCCTCCTCTCTTGGCCAATAATTTCCTCAATAAATTAAAGTGCTTGTCACGATTGTTTTATTACGTAGAGATTCAAGATAATTACATATAAAATTTTAAAAATGTAGATTATGTTGTTATACTAGGTACTAACAATTAGTTGTATTGTTTATTTTAATTATAAGTATAATAATATTATATAATAATAAGGAAACTCTATAAAAAACACAGGGTTTTAAGTAAATATCTATCAATCAAATTCTTTTGACCTAGCAATTAATTGTTTTCAGTGTACCGATCTTCTTCCATTGATTTCCCTGGAATACTTGGTTTTCCAACTGTCAACAGGTTCTTTTTGTAAATAATTCCTTGTTTACTTGTGTGTTTCTAATTATTTTTTTGATTTGCCAAACCTGTTTTGCATGTAAAAATTGATATAACCTTGAGCGTTAAATAAGCCGGCTCTTTGTTGTATTTTGTTTATAATGAAAGCACTGTGAGAATGGGATTATTGTAATGATTGTGATAACTCCCCCACATGCTTTATATGTATGCACATTTATCCAATTAAAACTTCTTACGTTGAACTTGCTGAACTAAACGCTTGGATAAAACTTTCCACTGTGTTGTTTTTTTATGCGCGACAGTTCTATTTATAACTTTTTGCAATAAACTATTGCCGGCACACCCGACACGAAAAAAATGCCAACTTTCCCGATTTACTGGGCAAATGAGCTTTTGACAGCTGTGGTGGGTGTACCAGCTAAACATGATGGTGTTCGCGTTTCCTGGTGAATGGCACTATAAAGAAGAAGACAACAGCTGTTTATTGTTTTGGTTGCAGATTCCACAAAAAGCCGTCTAAAATGCTTAGAAAACTATTATTTAACACTCAAGTTGTATTAAAACAGCAACCAAAGGTGGGTTAAATTAAGACACCATAGTTAAAGATCGTGGTACATACTCCATTTTGCAGTTACATCACGTAAGACACCTGGCAACACCCAAGATTTTGCAACTCGAACAGGTTCACATTGATGAGGCCATTAAAATGGAACCTACTCTATCTATTTTCACACCTGAGATCTGGCGGAGGGCCCATCAAACCTTTCAAAATCACGGCTTGGAAACGGTTAATTTCCTGAGGATCGTTACCGGCAATCCTGCAGTTCTGAAACGAACGCCAGACAAAATAGTCAACAGTCTGGAAATCTGGAGAGCCTGCCAATTTGGCGAGAATCTTCTGCACCTGCTACTTACAAAGTATCCCGAACTGCTGGACGTAAGCGACTCTCACCAGTTACTTTCACACATTGGCTTTCTGAAGAGTCGCGTGTCCACCAGCAAAAATGTTTGGAAACTATTGATGAACAGTCCGGATCTGATAGCCCAGCCCGAGGAAACCGTAGAGGAAAAGCTGAATTTCCTCATAGATGTGATGCGCATTGAAGTTCCGGAGATTGTGAAATCAGCAGCCCTTAGTTTACCCTTTGAGGAGATGCGTTGTCGCCACGAGTTTCTGCTGCGTTTGGGACTTTTCAAGCCCCGGCCTCTGAAAGCCGATCCCAATGAGCCCAGTACAAACCACAAGCTATATCAGATTACGGACACTTCCGAGAAGAGTTTTGCCATAAAGATATGTCATGTCACACTGCCGGAATACGAGGCCTTCAAGGAACTCTACGCCAAGGAACTGGAGCGAAAGTCCAGAAAATCTAAGGAGGAAGAAGAACTTAGCGATGAAGACGAATAGGTATTAATAATTATCCTTAAGGATAGACATATAGTTAATAATAGTTAACCTTCTGGCTTCAGATATTATTTTAAAATCTATATGTATCATCTGCAAAGCCGTTAAACAATATGTGCCAGGACATTTTTCCTATTTGTTTCATAATTTCAGACACAAGTTTGATTTATTTGTATTTTTTCTATAGTTACATAGTTAAAATGAGTCGTTTGCTACGCAAATAAAACCAGCTTTCTGATCACATCTCAGATCGAACATTTTACTCCACGCTATCGCAACGCAGCTCTCAAGGGACTCCAAGTTATTGGGTTCTCTCTTTGCCCAACGTAAAAAGGGATCTGGGTTGTTAAAGGCCACGTATTTGTCATCCTCAGATTTTTTGTTAATGCCCACCCAGAACCAGAAGTTATTTCTGATTTTCAGGTTAATGGCGTCAAATTCCTCTTGGTTTTTAAAGGTCGCTAATTGGGCTCCCATCTGCCGACAGCTTTCTTCAGCAGCGGTCCAATCTTTAACACCATAGTTCTCTATATAAAAGTACCGCGAGCCAATCCTCTCGAAGTTGGTCAGGTTAAATACTTTTGTGTAAATTCTGAAAAGGGTTTCCTGTACCTTGGTCTGCTGATCCTGCAGGGTACTTTCTATCTTTTCGAGTATACCTTTGAAGTCTCTTTCCTGGTTTGCTATCGTCATTTGTATCTGATTTATTTGTTTATGAGTTTCAGCTTGGGACGTGCAGTGCATAGCCATTTTATCATAAATTGGACGCAGTGCGGCAAGGCAGAAGGAACCGCACTGATTAGGAGCGTCTTTCAAAACACAAACTGATTGGGGATCCTGCGATTGAGCCAGGCAACACCCTATCCAGACAATAAATCCTACCAACAAATACTTTGGAGTCTTTGCCATTTCAAATATGTATATGCGTCCACTAAAGAAAAGGTCTTCTATTAAACTGAATTTCTAAATGGACTAGTTTTTGGAACAATGTCAATCTTATTACTTATTCTAAGCTTTTTAATTGCTGCTTCGTTGAATATTGCTAAGCTATTTGACTTCTCTCCACTATAAATATGTACATACGTTTAACAGGTCAATAAGTTATTTTATTGATAAGAACAACAAAAAGTCTATGTTGTTTCTTAAGAATTTTAAATGAGTGAGTAAAGGCATCGCTAAAATCTTAAGTTAATACTATAGATCATACACATCATATCAATACGTAATATTTTTAACTGCAACAGCTATAACGTAAGAATAATACCCTTGCTAAATAGCCGTTACGTACGGATACACTTCATATGTACCCGTGATAACGATAGCTATCGATAACATACCCCACATCATTTTCAGCTGCAACAAATACAACGTAACGTAAGAGGACGAATTTTGCCATCTCTAAGCAAATACAACGATATTCATAATATCATTCTTTAAACGCGAAAACGCGAGTAAAACTAGCAAGCTTCAATTGATTGCACCAAAGAATCAATTGGGCTGTATAACTAACTCGCGTTTTCCGAACTGACTTGGCAATTTCCCCCTCGGAAAGTGGCCAAAAAAACGAATGGAAGTGCTGGGTAGAACGGTAACCTAAACCCACGAAAGAAAAAAAAACAAAAAACATGGAAGTGTGTTAACGACGTAAGTGTCATTTCATTTCAAAATTATTCAGCTTTGGAGTAAAATAGTTTCTGAGCATTTTGTGTGATTTTTATTTTGTGATTTTCAATCGTGTGCTTTGTTTGTGTTGCGTTGGTGTGGGTAAGTGTGTGTGGTGTGGTGCGTCGGTGTGAGTGGCTGCGCATGTGTGCGGCGGTGGGAGCGAGACGGCACCACTCGATTAGCGGTTGTCAAAAACAGCTGATCCGGCCCAGAGGTGTGGGTGCCAAAGGGGGTGGCGCTCCTGCGTCTAACGGGGGCGGAGGGGGCGGCACTCACCTGTAAGCTTTCGCCAAAAATTTACGGTATAAAAAGAATTGTTAAATTGTTGTTAGAAAATGCTTTTAAAAGTGTGATTAATTTTCTAACAATTTTTTTTGAAACGTACAGTTGTTGCACTCTCTACAAGTGGTTTCTCTTTGGAGACTTTTCGGCCGTTGAAAAAATGTCAATTCAGGGTCAGGGTTCTACGCTAAGATGATATATGTATAAATTGGTACTACTAAAATATATCCTAGTGTATTAAATAGTAGTGCACAACATTAAAAATATATATAAAAATTATTTATTTATTATATTTTAGACATTTTTTTTGCTATAGTTTTTATTAATTACTTGAAAGGTAAATTAAATCTTATAAAATGTTACAAAAAAAAAGTGTAAGATAGGCAGGGCTTATTTAGAGTCTTAGTGTAGAGTTTATATTCCATGATTATCTTGTCAAAAAAATTGATTTTCCTTTCAATATTACTAACCAAATTAAGAACCAGCAATATCCATTTAGAAATCTTTTACTACCTATAAACTAAAAATCCTTCACTTTGCAGGTGCTTAGAAGGGCAGTTTTGCTCAATCTACCAAAACCCTTTTCCCGCGATCCATTTTCTGTGCGGAATGCCCCTGAACGATGTGGCCTCCTCCGGTGTTGGAGTTTATCCGGAAAATGGAACGAAGCACAAGGCGCAGGGCATGGCGAAGCCGGACGCTTCAGCCGGATCGAATTCCGGCTCTGGATCGGGACTCTCGCTCTTCTCCCTGCAGGGCCAAAAGTGGCAGCAGGTGTTCGACCTGGACAAGGTTATCAAGCAGCTGCGAACGGCTGAGAAAACCTATCTGCGCGGCGGGAAGAACTCCTCCGCCGGCGGGGATCAGCAGGCCAAAGTGCAGGTGCAGCGCCTCCAGTCGGCGGACATGGCCTACTATGATCTGGTGCCGAAGCTGGCCAGCCGCGATATAGTACTCTGTAGTTCCTGCTCGGGATGTTACACGAAGGCAGGCTTCCAGCATCACATTGCGCTGCAGCATCCGAGCGTCTGGGAGGCCACATCCAGCAAGGTCAGTCCCAGTGCCAATGGGGCGGCCACATCCAGCGATTCGCGTCTCACTGCCACGGAGAACAGCCAGGAGGGCGGGGCCATTGTGCCCAGCTCGCCCACGGACACACTTTCGGCCTCGACGCTCTCCAGTTGCTCGAACGGATCCAGCAGCTCGACCTCGTTGCAGCATCCGGCTGGGGCGGGATCCTCCACCACCACCACCACCTCGTCCTCGTCGTCGTCGCGTCACAAGAGCAGCAGCAGCAAAAGCAGCAGCTCATCCTCGTCCAAGGGCAGCAGCAGCACTTCCGCCGGCAGTCGTTCGCGTTCCAAGTCGTCGAAGAACCGCCACCACTCCTCGCCAGCTCCGGCGCCTGCGTTGGAGTCCAATCACAAGGAATCCAAGGGCTCAAAGAAGAGTACGGCCATAGCAGCACCGCCTGTCGTCGCTCCGGTTGTCAAAGAGGAACCTCCAGCTGTAGCAGCTGCTCCGGCTGCCATCACCGTGTTCTCCTCCTCCAGCAACTCATCCTGCAGTTTACCGCCCACTCCCACGTTGGGAGTAGCCTCCAGCGAGGTGGCACTAGGGGTCAACTACTCACCTGCCCAGCTTCAGACGGAGGTGGAAAAGCTTCCCGAGCTTCAGCCAAAGAAAAAGGTATATCATATCATTTCAAACTTAAACCTTACGAAAATAATTACCAAACTCTTACGTACTTCAGGTGAAGGGCTCAAGCGATCATCGAACAAAAGCGGAGAAGGAAAAGAACAAAGAGAAGCCTGTGGTGAATGTCTACGAGCAACAGCAAGTGATCAGCGAGCTGGACCAGGCGGTGTCCTCCATTACGGGAGCCGTTTCCTCCGAGCAGGTGGCGCCCGAAGAGGAGGAACTGCCATTGCCCAATACCTCCGATGAGAACTCCATTTCCCAGACACTCGACGAGATGCTGGACAGCAAGTTGATCAATGAGATACTCAACAACTTCGATGAGAGCGCCTTGGACACATCGCAGCAGCAGCAGCCACAGCAGCAGTCGCAGAATGGAACTCTTTCGCATCCCGCACAGGCGACGAAAAGATTGCGCTTCGAGGACGGAACCATTGGCGAGGATTACACCGTCTATCAGCAGCAGTCGGTTCAGCAGGTTTACGGCGATGAAGAGCACCAGCAGGAGCTGACCACCATCGATGCCATGCAGTTGCAACAGCTGATCTACCAGCAGCAGCAGATGCTCGAGCAGCAGCAACTGCAGGAGCAGCAGCAGCAGCACCAGCAGGATCAAAAGCTTCAGGATCACGAGCAGCAGCGTCAGTTTAGCGTCTACAATGTGCCATCTTTGACGGATGAGGCCATGGCCAATCCCCAGCAGCCGCAGCAGCTGGAGGAGCACATGATCTTGCCCAGCATAATTTACGAGATCAGCGAGTCGAATCCCGTTTCCATGCTGGAGCAGCAGAAGGTCTTAGCCGAATTCCTAACCCATGCGGGCTACGAAAATGTGGACGTGAATGTCGTGCAATCGGGCGGCGGCATGCAATCCGGATTGAGTTCCGGAATGGTGGAGTCCAACTACCTGGCGGACGAGCTGGGTGACTTTGAGTTCAGTAAACTGGAGACTGTTAGCGACACCGTAAAGACTGTTAAGCTGGAGGCCAAGGCCGCCAGCCAGCCACCCTCAACAAATCCTCAAATCACCCATCATCCAACGCTGGCCAATGCCAAATACCACGAGGACAGCTACTTCAATGTGATGATGTACTCGGGATCGCCGCGTCCCTTGGCCATGAACACCTTTGGCATGGTCAAGATGCCCCAGGGATTGGGTGTGACTTTCCGCAAAAACCTGCTGACCACACGGAAGGCCAACAACAGTTTGTTGTCCCTGACGGGTGGCAGTCATCTGGGCGTGGTCGGCCAACTGGCACGCCCACCGCCGCCGCCCTCGCCGGCGTTAAGTAATGGTTTACCGGGCAAGAATCCCGCTTCGGGCAGAACCGTATACGCTCAGAGATCAAATGTCATAGCACAGGATCGATTGAGATGCAACAAGAGGGCGCTGATCGGTGGCAAGGTGGGAGCGGTAGGAAATGGATCTGGATCAGGAGTAATGACGGCCAAGCGATTGAACGAACTGCTGATGGGAAAGGTAAAGAAGGAGGAGAAGCCACAGCCGGAAAGCGAGGAGGGAGGCGAGCAGCCGATGAAGGACAAGGATCGCGAGAAGGAGGAGGATAACAAGCTGACCTTCAGCTTCTACGAGAAACGACGCCGCCTGTTGGCAGGCAAGCAGGAGCAACTCCAGCCGATCGGCCGCCCCAGCTTCACCCTGCCGCTTCAAAGTAACCACAATGCCAGCCAAAGTCAAAGCCACTCGCCGCAGCAGCTGCTCAAGAAGCAACTGCTGCGCACTCTGTCCGACAGCAGCAGCAACATCAACATCAGCAACATGAACAACATCAGCAATATGAACAGCAGCAACACTCCCAGCGCCAATAGCAATCCCCCCTGGAAGGGGAACAATTCCAATCCGGGCGGGAACTCCACTCCAACCAGCAGCGACTTGATGCGCGTCTTTGTCTAATCTGATCTGATCTAAAGTTCAGAGCCGCAGACACGCATCCCTAGTTATATATGTTTATACAATACGATACGATTATGTGCAGCCTCTTCTCTAAATGCTAAATTAATTTTTTAATAATTTTTTAAAATCAATTTTCATTTTTTAAAAGTGATAATTAGTTATCGATTAGTTGATTGTATGTAGTTCTCTGTTTAGTATACGCCCTAAGTTAATTTAATAATTATACAATTATTTCTCGTGGCTAAGCATTACGCTAAGTACTCGTAAATCATTATTTATAAACGCTGTAAACTTTTAAAAATACAAGAGCATGCCTAAGTTCAATTCTATTTCAACTTAAGCGTTTGTTTTTTCTAGGTGCACAGTTGCTATGAATGAATTTGGTGTTGGGAAGATATTATTTAGCATGTTAGTTTTTTAAATGTTTATCTAAATTTAAATTTGCGCACGAGCGTCTTGAACGGCTCCGAGGATTTTCCCATTTCGATTTTTATATTTAAAAATTCGTTATGAATAACGGTCGAAAATACTCGGACAGGATGGTTTAAAAACCAGCTAAACATTTATCGGAGTTCATAACCTTTTACCTTATACAATACGCGATCTTTTGATAGCTTCCATAATAATTCATAGTATAATGATAATAATTGGAAAAATGACCTTAATCTATAATTAAATGGAACAACTGATTACTTATTAATAACACAATTCATCTGATAATAAATATCGAAGTATAGCTATTTAGAAATATAAAAAATAAATGTAGAACAATCTAGTTAAACTAGTTTAATAACTCTTAAATATATAGAGGTACTTGATATATTTAGGTGTCGCGGAGTGTAAGTTGTATCCGATTCTTTAAACCACGCAAACGGTCACACTAAGAGACAGGTTTTTCTTTTTCTTCGGCGAACAATTAACATGGACAATAACATTAGCTCGCTCAGCTCATAATCATCTTTTAGCCGCTTAAGGCCAGGTGAGATCATCATCATCGCTGGCCGAGAAATGCACCTGAAGATGCTGCTGTCGAAAGCGTGAGAAGTCGCCGGGAAATCGCTGGAAAATCGCATGTAACGAAGTACTTAACTTTAACGAACTGAACTCTCAAGATGCCAATCCTGCCAATTCTCATGGGGATGCTGTTGCTCCCCGCTTTGTCCTTGGGCCAGACTCATCAGGTGTCGGATTCCAAGCACTTGGATGGGATCAGCCTGCCCAGCCTGCCCTCGGAGCACCTCATCCGGTACCTGAACACATTTCCTAAGCTGAAACAACAGCTGACCACGAATCTTACCGGTAACGGAAAGACCCCCATCTCATCCGCCTGCTGGGGCCACGAACGGGACTGCACGCCGGATGGCCGCTTCCAGACGCCCCAATGTCCGGGGGAGCACACCGGCTGGGCCAGGAGCAAGGAAGCCCAGCTGAGGACCTTCTACAACCAGGCAGACTTCGGCTACATCCAGGAGCAGCTCTCTCAACTGACGCCGCAATGTGTGCCCACTTATTTGGGGGACTCCTCGCTTGAGTGCACCCACTATCTACGCTTTTGTCGTGGCAGGAATCTCCTCTTCGACTTCCGGGATTTGGTGAACCGAGAAGAGCGCATCCGTTACCACATGGATGTTCTGGCTCCGGGACAACTCCTTGGTCACTGTCTACTAAATCGATCGCGTCTCTCTGGCGAAATGGATCACATTGGATCTGCCCTTCAATCCTGGGGCCCAGAGCTGCGCAACTTCGAGGTTTTGCCCCATCCCATACTCGAAAGCGGTCTCTGCGATGTGGTGGTGAATACGCCCACATTCATCATGAAAATCGACGCCACGTACAACATGTATCATCACTTCTGCGACTTCTTTAACCTGTACGCCTCGCTCTTTGTCAACCAATCGCATCCGGCGGCCTTCAACACGGATGTGCAGATCCTCATTTGGGAAACCTATCCGTACGACTCGCCCTTTAGGGACACCTTTAAGGCCTTCTCGCAGCGACCTGTTTGGACCCTTAGCGATGTGGAGGGCAAGAGGGTGTGCTTCAAGAACGTTGTGCTTCCGCTGCTGCCCAGGATGATCTTTGGATTGTTCTACAATACACCCATAGTAAGAATAGTGAGCAGAGAGGGAAGCTAAACCACATATTATAATGGTTTCTTTGTTTTAGATCCAGGGCTGCTCGAATAGTGGACTGTTCCGCGCCTTCTCCGAGTTCATCCTGCACCGTCTGCAGATTCCCTACCGCCCACCACAGCAAAAGATCAGAATAACCTATCTATCGCGTCGCACAAAGTACCGGCAAGTGCTCAACGAGGATGAGCTGCTGGCCCCACTGGAGGCCAACGATAAGTATGCCGTGCAGCGTGTTTCCTATGAAAGGTAAGGAATGATTAGGACTGCTTCTTGAACTTAAGTCTCATATATTACCCCGGTAGGCTCTCCTTCATTGACCAGTTGGCCATCACCAGGAACACGGACATACTCATCGGCATGCACGGCGCTGGATTGACGCACTTGCTCTTCCTGCCCAACTGGGCTTGCATATTCGAGCTGTATAACTGCGAGGATCCCAATTGCTACAAGGATCTGGCTCGCCTGCGTGGCGTTCGCTATCGCACTTGGGAGCAGCGGGAGCTGGTCTATCCGCAGGACGAGGGACACCATCCCGAGGGCGGGGCACATGCCAAGTTCACCAATTATAGCTTCGATGTGCCGGAATTTGTGCATCTTGTCGATGAGGCAGCCAAGGAAATACTTTCCCACAAGGAATTCCCTCGAGAGTCATCAGATAATCCCTCCAAAACGCAGCACAACGAGCTGTAGATTGCCACAATTGTGATTAAATGCATTTATTTTGCTTATTTTCCAGATCCAAAATAAATCGGTATTATATAGATAAAATTGGAAGCAAATTATTCGTTTCAAAATTTGAATTTATAAAGTGAGACCATGTCTTTGATTTGATTTGTGCCTGCTTTCAAAAGCTGGCTGCAGCACAAGCGATTATTTAATCGGTTAGCTTCCACCACTATTTCATAAGTTTTTGTTTACATTTTGCCGGCATACAGGTTTTAATTCGTAAAGGATCCTTAACTTATTATAACTCCAGAAATTAAAAAAAAATACACAATGGAAGCCGAGATGGGCGACTCTATAACCCATGATTTGAGCGAAGTGGATCTGAAATCCTGGAGATCTATCAAGGAAAGTTTGGACAGTTTTTTGGTGATAATCCCCACTGTACTGGGATTCATCCTTTCCCGTCTTCTTTGTGGCCACCTGCCGCTGCTATCCACGAGGAGATTCCTGCTGGAGTTCCTTTTGATTGGACTACCCACCGTGGTTTTGGTCACCGTGGGCAGTGCTTATAGCTATACCTATTCCATGGTGGTTTCGTTGGCTGTTGTGGGTTATATCTATGCAAATATCCCACCCAATACGCCGAACTTTAAATATGAGGTCGGTAAACGACCCATAGTCTTCACCCTGCTTAGGGCCACGGCCTACAGTGGAACCTGTGCCGCCATCCTGGCCGTGGATTTCCCATCATATCCATTTGATTACCGGAAAAGCAGGACTTTCGGAGCCTCAACGATGGACATGGGCATTGGCCTGTTTGTGGTGACCATGGGATTGGTTTCACATCGAACGAGGACCACTGCGGACCTAAAGAAACTGAAAAGATCGGTTCTTCCATTACTGGTTTTGGGACTGGCACGCACCATTGTCATCGCGGCGATCGATTATCATCAGGATGAGACGGAATATGGCAAGCACTTGAATGCCTTCTTTATTCTGGGCTTCACCAAACTGATAGGCAGCTTCTATAGTCTACTTGTGAAGTCGGATGAACAGCTTCTGGGACTATCATTGGGTAAGTTGCGAGTTAGTAATAAATCTCTATATATCTATAATCATAGGTCTCCTAAATTGTAGGATAAGTCATAATTTCAAAAATAATAATAATGTATGTTTTTCCTAATTTTACACGATTGTAATAACTAGTTATAAGTTACTAATAATCTTCTTTTGACTTTCAGGGCTGCTTTTCCTTCACGAACTGGCGCTCCAATTGGGTCTCTCCGAATTTGTGATGTCTTCTGCACCCCACGAAGGATTTTTCAGTGCCAATCGGGAGGGTTTGATTTCCCTACACGGCTGCGTGGCCCTCTATCTGCTCAGCATTTACTTCGCCAAGTGGTATACCTCCCAGGATCACCTTAGTTATCCAGACCTAATAATCAAGTTGAGGAAAATACTTTTGGTGGCCATCCTCTGCTGGCTGCTGACTTTCATAAGTGCCTATTTAACAGGCATTGCACGTGTCACATTTAGTTTTGGCTATGTAATTTGGATTTTCGCTGTGTGCCTGAGCCTCGTTGCGATTTTTGCATTTTTCTTTGAACTTATACTTGTTAAGTCAGATTTTATTAATAAGAAATCGTCTGGAGATGACAAGGAAAGGGTTGTATCTTTACCCTCCTTTGTGGAGAGCCTCAACACGAATGGACTGACCCACTTTATGCTCTCCAACTTCCTCACAGGCATGGTCAACATGTCTCTGGACCCCGGCCATCGAAATGATTTCGAATCCGTTGTCATACTATCCGTCTACATATTTGTTTGTTCTGGAGTGGTCTTTATTCTGCTGAGAAAAAGCATACGAATAGCTTAGAGATCTTATCTTACCATTAAAAATGTGTGATAAATGTTTGCAATACAAAATACATGATAAAAACTAATCTGGGTAAAAGTATATATTTCAAATTGACCGCACAATGAAAAAAGTATGCAATAGCGCATACAATATGTGCAAACCCTTCTGCTTTAAGGACTACCAATCGACTCAAAAGGCATAATATAACCATTCGGCATGACCAGAAAAAGGATGATGGGTGATTCCGATCCGATCCTGGAGGGTGAGTTGTCCCCATCGGATTCCTTGTACACCTCGTAGACCATGCAGCCATTATTGCTCCGTATCAAACGAGTCCACAGCCACTTTTGATCCTTGCCAGCGGAAGATTCCGTGGATGCCAGCTTGGTTTTCAGCTGCTGACAGGCCACCGAGCAAGTGGAAATCGACTGATCCATGCGCTCCATGCGTTCCCTAATTGTCGTACTGCCTGCCTTCTTCCTCATGGGTATAATCTCTGCCGGATGATCAAAGTCCACCCGAGGAGTTCGCTGCCTGGGGCAACAGGCGGCGGCACTTAGACGACTCGAGGTCTTACAGCAGGACTTTGGAGTGCAGGGCACTGGCGAAATCTTGGGACTACAGGGCACTGCAGTCTTTCCACTGCCGCAGCTGCTCGTCGGTTTGGGGCAACAGCTACTCGGTGGCTGGGAGCAGCAGGTATTCCACATCGAGGACGAAGGATGAGCCGAGCTGCTGATGGAAGTGCAAGGGCTGGGTGCACAGGTGGATGGCGGTGTACAGGATTCCTTTTTAAGAGCAGGCCCTAAAATGCAATCACTTATTGATAAGAAAATGTTTATACTTCAAATCCATTAAAATCTAACCATAGGAAGCCAACTCCAGCATGGGAATTATTTTTGTGGCACCCGAAAGGTAAAGGATGCGATCCAGGATCGTCATGACCACCTCGTCCGGATGCGGACCCAGCATGTCAAAGATGGGCGCCTGTGGGTTCTTCTCCAGCCTCAAGCCGGGCGGACACTCACAACATCGCGGCGTCTGAGTTCCACAGCAAGAGCTCATGGTCGTTCGTCTTCTAATGTTGGCATAAATAAACACCCAATTTTTCCAAATGATTTTCTCCCAAAAAGCCGGACCGGAAGCTAGTGTTCTATGAGTGCTCAGCACTGAGTTGCTTTGTCCAAGGAGCCAAGGGGCAGATGTCAAAGGTGCGATATCCGGCTTAGGCGCACGGCGAAGGCGTCACAAAAGATAAGATTTCTATTAAGGAAATGACTGGAAGTGCTGGCATTGTCCTCTGGACAGCTGGGATGGGCACAGAGGTCAGGCGACTCGGAAAGGATATTTAATTTAACGGCCCAAACAAAGACCAAATCAAAGATGAGCCTGCGGGGGAGGTTAAGCCTGCTAACAGCCAGGACTTAAGGAGCGCGCAAATGACCAGCAAGGAGCTTCTTATTGGAGGTGGAAAGGGTATAAAAGGGGCGTTACAGCTTTGAGGAAGTTCTTTAGGAGAATCTTAAATATACATCCATTAACAGATTATAAATATGAGATGGTTTGCTACCTTTTCCTACCTATTATCTGTAAAAAACCAATGGGATTAACCATTAACCATTAAAAAATATATTTAAGTTTTTTCTTGGCTGAAAAACTAGGAGAATAGGGACAGAAAACTCTAGAGATTTCAAATGATATATAAAAGTGCTTAAAAGTATGCAACAAAAACCAAGATCTTCCCGCTCGTTATAAATGAATCAGAAATTCTATTTTAAAATAAGTTGTTGCATACTCTTGGGCATATTTAAAAGTGATTTTAAAATCTTTGTGATTTCCGTAGCACTCTTTGCTCTTCCTGTGATACCTATTAATATGTGAGTTCTAATAATAAAAAAAAGAGCAGGCCAATAGAGTATCGTAAATTCGCTATGCCAAAAATATGCCTTTCCGAATTTTTTCTCTCCGCCTTGAATGTAATTACGGCAACAGTTTCCACTGCTGATGCGTAGCCTCTGCTCGTCATTCGACTTTGATGCGCTTTTAATGTCATATCCTGGACTATTCAAGGACGAGGACGTCGTCGGTGGACTTATCTGATTTGGGACAGCACAAATGCAATTTCCGTCCGCCAACCTTTCAACCCTTCGTTATATGCCGAGTTAATAGCTGGGAACCAAATATAATCGTATAGTATATCAGAAGGCGTGTCTAGGAAAACAGCAACAGGAGAAAGGAAAGCAGGTGGGGAAAAACGAGCACCTGTTCCCACAGGGGGTGGCTTTTTGGCTTTGATGACAGATTATTTTCACTAGCGAAAGCAACGAATTGTTGTCCATTTTGGGTAGAGGAAAATTATAAGCGTTAATTATTATATCCATGTTTTCCCCTGCATGTGTAAAACATGCTATCCTGATTGATGTGGCCAACAATCAGGTTGAGAATTGGTTCTTCTGCTTTTCACTTCATTTTTTTGAGCTGCCAATTTGCTGACGAGTTCCCTTTTTTTCGACTGCTCGTCAAATCGGATTCCATTCAAAAGGGGCTTTTATAAAGAGGCATAAGTAAAAAAAACCCAAATATATCTGTGCATATGCATGAGTGTGTCTGCGTGAAGGACTAAGCTCCTGGGCCCTGGGGAAATCGCTTAAGCCGTTCATAATGAATATCATGTGAATACGCTTATGTGTGGGAGTGACTAAGCTGCAGGACATTTTGGCAAATGGCAGCAAGAATTCGCAAGGCATAAATTATACATAGCTCACTTCTAAGGGCACCTATTTAAAAGGACACCTACAGCTTACCAAGTGAATTTAGTTAACTTTTATGGTAAGTAAATAAATAAATTCCATAATTAAGTTCCTTGAGCAGTAAGGTTATCTGGATAAAATGTTCTTACAATTGCAAACATTTCCATAGAACTTTGCAAAGTTCCACATCAAATACCGACTCTTTATGGCTTCCCCAAGCGCTTCTCCTCCTTGAATGGCGAACCATACCCCCCGAAATTACCACAAGAGTTCGTGACTGGAACTGAGGCACAGACTCCATAACAACTCCCGACACAGGGCAAACAAAATGCTTATCGAACAACAGTTTTTATCGGGGCTTATGCGTCATGGCAGCAGGCGAAGGAAGCCCCACTCCTGGGTACTTTTTGAAATGCTTTTAGTGAGCGAAATTGCGCAATTGTGGAGCAATCAATGCGAAGCCAAAAAAAGTGTTGAGCAAAATCAAACGGAACACAGTACAAAATATCATAGAGTTATTTATTATATCATTTGTTAAAAGTAATTAAACATAACTCACGAGGGTTAAACCACAAGCCTTCTTTACTACTTAAGCTGTCTAAAATAAATATTATCCCAAAAGTCAGATGCATTCATTCCAAAAGACTTCGCACTGTTTTGCACTGCATACTTTTAGACACGATTGTATTTGATATTTAACTTATCATTCTATAGACCTAGGAGCAACTAACATTTAAAATTAAGATAATTAAATTTTACAAGCCATACATACAGGGTTTGTGTGTATGCTATATATATTTTAAGCCTAGAAGCTAGATGGATTCATTTCAAAAGACTACGTTCTGTTTTGCACTGCATACTTTTAGGCACATATTAAAGGTTTTTAAAACCAATATAATAATAATTGGGAATTATAATTTATTATTAATAATAAACTTGTTCAAATTTAAAGAGTACCATTATTTTGCTTGGCCTTACATTACCAGGGACTTATTTTATTTTTGCAGTGTAAAAATTCAGAAGTAGATGGACAGACAATAGGTTGCCATGCTGACGTTCTCAGTCTGGTCTGGGTCCCATCAAAATTGCGTTGCTGTTAAATCGAGCGGAAGCTGATATGATTATGGCCTTCAAAAGTGCACTGTGGATCTCCCATGGATACACATTGCCTAGTTGCATCCTCAACGATTGCAGCAATTAGCAAAAGAGTCTCCCCAAAACAACACTCTTTTTTGGGCAATCCCATTAAGTGATTCCGGGTTCTAAGCTCTCTACTTAGTGGCCATGGTTATAAGACCCAGACATTAAGAAGATTAATTCGCAAAGTCGCTTGTTGTTATTTTTTTTCACTTGCCAAATCTCAGATAACGTTATGGATCATTGTGTCACAGATTTGACAAATCTTTGGGAGGCCAAAGAAAGCAAGAAAAAATCCGGAACTGGAACAATTTCACATTTCTCAAGTTGAAATGCGAAACCGGCTTTCGGTTTCCCCCATCGATTTGGCCGTCTCTAAAAGGAATCATTAAATAAGAAAAGTTTGCTCGGGGAAGTTGCCCCCGTTTTACAGGAAAACAAATGTAAGGAGTTTGATAAACTCACACAAAGACCGAGAACATTGCGAAAAAAATCGCAATAAAAAGCCGAGACAGGACATTGCCCCCCAGCTCAGTGCGCATTTAATAAAGCCTCCCAAATGGAATGACTTGCCTCGGTTCTCCCTTTTTTTTGCCTTATTTTTTTGCCACACAGAAAAGTCAGCAGCGTAACCGCAACACGTTAACGGTTTCGGTTTCACTCTGTGATTTACAACAACAGAAATCGGGGGTTCTATATCCCAACCCCTCGTCAAAGTCTGCCATCCTGGCGCGCTCATGTGTGAAAAGGTACTTTGGGAGTTCCCTCAGACGGCAATTGTTTTGGCCAAAGAAAAGATATCTGAAAGATACGTATACGGTATATATACCCTTCCGATTTTGCACAGAGAATGCGGGGATGTGTGTACCACCAGTATACAAATTACCCTCCCAGGGGAAACGATTGATTTTAGCCGATTACTCTGATATCCTCCGGATCGCATTTTGATTTGATTGCTACCATTGATTTCAAAAAACAATTTTTTAAATTATATTAAAAAGTTCCTTGAAAATGAAATGTACCTTTTAAATATGATACATAATATTAAACAATCAATTCTACACAGCTATAGAAGCCTTTTTTCAAATGCAGATTTATAATAAGTTTTATAAAAATGTTTGGAGCATATTTGAAATATAGTTTTAATATGACTTATGGTATAATTAAACTATTTGATCGCATTCTGCACATATCTAGAAGCCTCATATAAATCCAGAATTATATAAACCTTTATAAATTAATTTATTGCATTTTTAAAATGGCGTCAATTTCCGACAGAAATGAATGATATATGACTGCAAATTCGTAACTTTCTGCACAGTTCAATGAGTGCCCTGTGAAATTAAAATTCAAAATCGGTAGGTGGCCATTTCCAAGTCATTAAATTCATTTAGAGTCGAATGGCAAAGTTAAGCGAACGAAACTTTTCCACGTGCCGCACATAGATAAAGATAGATAGCTACAGGGGCGGTGGCGTTGTCCCAACAACCTGGCAATGAAGGACCTTTTACCCTCCACCACCCAAAACTCAGGGCATTCTTCGAGTGTTATCGGGCGGACAGCATCATGCATATATTAAGCGTAAATTGCCTTGGCATTCATTCCAGAGCTAATAGAAATGTCTGCTAGTTAATTTAGCGTCATGAAGTTGCCCGAAAATTTTTTCGAGTCGGTTGCTCGGGAGATGAAGCGACTTTGAAGTGGTCAGGGCAGAAAAGGGAGGAATATTTCTGAAGTTGATGTGATTTTCCCTGGATATGTAAAAAGGCGTCTTAAAATGTCTGATATCAAAGAAAATAATCATAGTTTTGATAGTTTCATAAAGAAAATGGAAGTAGTTATATTATTTAAAATAAAAACACGTTTGTTGGTTTCTATTCATATTTTTTTCAGGCTTACATAATATATATTTTATTTATTATAAAATATTCTCTTTATCATATTTTTTTGGTTCGATGAGGAATACGTTTTTTTAATATTATCTTATTCTTAAGCAACTTTATTTTGAATTGAGGTTGTATCTCCTGTTTTATAAAGGCTCCTTGGTATTTTTTGAAATATGCATATTCGATTCGCTATTTTCTATGTTTATTGAAGTTGATGTTTTATCAGGGCTATCAATGTTTTCTATTGACTTCTCTAAATTTTTGTTGGAAGTGCTTGGTAGTTCTCCCTCAGCATTACTTTCAGTTTTTTCAATATTTTCTTTAGGAGTAATTTTGTTTGGTTCATCGTCCAGAGAGATCTGAGATAATCTAGGCAAATCTTGAAAAGTGTTTAGAAAATGTCTCCTAAACTCTTCCTCCGGATCTTCAATATTCTCAGTTTTCCTTAAATCTTTTTTCTTTATCTTCGTTATTAAAATATCATTATCGAACAGCTCTTCACTTAAGTCAGAGCTGAGTTCTGAATCAACTGAAATCTCAGAAAGCCCAGAGATAGCTGTCTCTAATCCAATATCTTCAACGCATTTATTATCTTGAGGTTTACATTCACCATTTGAGGAAGAGGAAATACAAGATAGACTCTTTTGATCATCAAGTGGATCGGTTATGGAGCTTTTGAAATCCTTGTTCGCAGTTGAATCTGGTGAAGTATAAGTTTGTAAAGTAAGGAGTTCTTCTTTTGAGCGTTGGCTCGTAGGTTCTTCTCTAGATTTCGGATCTTCCAAGAAAGGAGGCTCCTCTTCATTACTACTTTTTTGAGACGGCTTCTGTGTTCTCACGGTTTTAATATCAGTAGCGGATACCTCCTTCATCGCACATGTTTTTACTTCTTTTAAATATAAATTAAAACAAAGTTTTACAAGATTTTAATTTTTTCCAAGTTCACTATTCCACAGCCTGCCTTATATTTTTTGACGTTCAGCTCTTTCTATATTATAATTCACTTCTTAATTTTCTTTTAGTAAAAATTAATGGTTTTAGTTACTTTCACTTTCCCCACTATCTGTGGGTTATTTTTCTTGATTCTTTTATTTCTGCGGATCATGTAGAATTTTTTCATTTTTTATCCCCAACCAATAAAAATACAATAAAAGCTGCAATTGATGCAGACCAAAAACGGTGAGTGGGAGAAAGCTTTTCCCAGTGAAGCCGAAGGAGAAATGAAAACTATGGTTGGAAAAGCTGTGGTCCATTGACGTCAGCAGGCAGGAATCGCCGACGAAATGCAATGTTTAAAAATAGATAAAGCCGTTCCGTGAAATGGGAAATCTGAAGTCGGCCAAACAACCCCTTTCCAAATGCGACTGCCAACTTTTAACCGACGGGTGGGCGGGGCAGCAACCCTTTTTTGCGAGTGGGCGACGTCGACACTCCATTAATTGAAGCCCCTGGATTACGGGAAATGGCATTGTCTTTCCAAAAACAACACCCGTTGCGAAGTCCCGTACAAATCTTTATAATCCCCGATAATTTCGTTAATGGCTTTAATCACTTACGCGCAGGAATAAAAAGGATTAGGTCGAAAGAGCGGGAATAATTTAAATAACATTTAATTTTATGCGAAGCTCGGCTCGAAATTTTCCAAATGGCGGCCATTGCGATGAAAGGACCTGGCTCCTCCTTTTGCTCCTGGCTGTCCTTGTGTGCATAAGGTCAAACACATACACACGGGGGAATCCGTATGTATACGTATGGTTATTTACCTAAATGCCACAGAAGCATGTATCTATATACACCCAATTAGGCGGCAACAATTGTTGCCACTTTCGTGGGGGAAACTCAACACTCTCCTGTGCTGTGTGGAAACTCAACACGAAAGTTTCCCATTTTCCGGATGACGGGGGGGGAGTTGAAAAAAAGCTTCGTCCTTGCGGCGGCAGCTATAAAAACCCCGGCCCAGTCACTGGCGCCACACACAAACCACAATCGACGCCCGGGAATCGGACGTGAGAAGGGAGAAAAGTCCGGGAAAATCAGAGGAAAATCCAGGAGGAAAACAGAGGGGATTCCCCCTCGACATCACAAGGACATGCCTTGGCAAGGACCTCGACTGCTGTGGCTGAACTGCCGACGGAACTGGCGAAGATGCGGAACTGGGAGCCCAAGAATCCAGCTCTCGGTTGCTTGGAGTCGTTATCAAAGGATCCCTTAATTCTGAAATTTTTTGAACGGCCGAGGGAGTAGTTCTTATCGCTACTCCCTGCTATTATATCTCTCAATGAACCTAAAGAATATCATAGCAACATCATATCAATCCATATCGATCTAGACCCTATGGTTAGCAAATTGTTTTTATTGTGGTATTATTTTGAAATTTCAATGGAAATTAAATGTGATTTTATGTAAATAAAATAAATTACTTATAACTAAAAAAGCTTTTAAAATGTAGAATAGTTTTTATTACTTAAAAACTTGACATCTACCGGAACTAGCGCCAAAACGTAAATGTTCTGATCCATGGGTTTTTAAAAAGATGTATGTATATAACATTGCCATTCTGGATGATTATATTGTTTCATTTTTTATTTTTAATTTTTTTAATAAATAATAGGACTTTTTTATGTTTTAGAAGCCCAATTAAAAGAATTCCGATCTTAAATTCGAATCGATTTCTGATTCATATAAAATATATTAGGTAGGTAAATATTTAGAAACTTTGTAAAATGCTTATAATATTTCTGGAATTTATAAGTTCCAATTTTTTTATTTTTTTTTTACTTTGGTTTTTTTTATTTATCCAAATGGAGAGTAATAAAACCAGCAAAGAGCAAACAAACGATGCGATTGAACCGCCTCCAAAGGCAACCATCAAGTTGGCAAATAAGCAGGTCTATATCGTCCCCCATTCCAGGTTGCTTAAAAGTAATCAGAAAACTTTTGTGAATTGTGGTGGGCGGTGCTAAAAATTTGCATATGTCAACACGAAAGAGCAGCAACAATTGCCGTGAAACACAATTTATTTACCGACCGGCCGAAGGACGGGACGCATTGAACCACAAAAGATACATTTGCCCGATGAGCAAAATTGAAATGTTAATTACACGGGGTTGTTCCACCGCTGGGCAAACAGTTTAAAAAACAGTCGAGAGCGATGTTTAGACACTGGCTAAGCAAACAAGCCAGCTGGTTCGTGATTTGTTTGCTCAGCTCTTAATCAGACCGGGTTCTGAGGAGCACTTTCCATCGAGAAAGGCCAGCGGCAGCGAAAGTTTAATATGGCATCGATAACCCCGGGTGGCAATATATAGCTCTGCTCTGAAGCTAAACGCTGCCAAACAGTCGGGGGATGTTCTGGAGTATCCTTACTCCGAACTCCCCCCATACCATCCCATCCCATTCCGAAAGAATATCCTTCTGTTGACGATGATGAGGTGTGAATGCCACCGCAGATTCTGCCTGTTTTGTTTTATGCCTTCATCATGGCGAATCCTGCTGTTGTGGCATCCACTTGAGGTTAATTGAATTTCATTGCGTCCTTGCTAAATGGAAAACGTTTTTTCCCCATTTAAGCTGGTTAGTGGAAATGTATGTAGTACCTGCAGAGCATTATTATTAATTGAGTCCGATGGTAATTGAAAAGTTTTCCGGCTTCCTAATTTGATCTGAAGCAAAGCCTTCCCTTTAATGTATTTCCAAATTTTCCTATTATAAAATTAAATATATTTTGATAGTAAATAATACTTAGATATAAACATATTATGAACACAGATGTTATTCTTATTTCGAATTTTTTAGTTTAGCTTAGATTTAAGTCGGGTCAATATTACCTCAAATTTTTAAGCAACCTTTAATAAAATTAAATATTTTTTAACAGTATATAAAGTAAAGAAATAAAAAAACTATAATTGCAAAATATTTTGTAAAAATGGGTACTCTTCGTGAGGCATAAGTTAAAACATTTATCAAGTGGAAAACCTCATATTTCGTAAACTTCAAGGATCTCCTCTTTTTTCTGCTTCTAAAATGTTCGCAAAAAAATCGTCTTACACTTTTACAAAGCTGAAACTCACAAATCCTTGAGCAGCAATTTTTTTCATTTATTATTTGACAACTTCCCATATCGAGTTTCCCAACTTTGGCGACACATTAAAAGGATTTCGCTTGGCACGTGCCTCAGCACTCTTAAGATGGGTGATGGAAAATAATAAAACAGAAGTGGAAACTTGAGGAAAAGCGCGGAATTAGCATTTATTTTCAAAGAGCGTGTTTATTTGGCTATTTATTCAATTTTAATTTCAATTCTTTCCGCACTTTTCCTATTCTCCCTTAGAACAATCAGTCACGGGTGCAGAAGGAATAGATGCGATTACATTTAATTGAATTTTTTCCGCGCGCTGTTTGCGCAAGGAAAGCCAAAAACAGAATTGAATGTATTATATTACCAATAAGAGGAGGGAAAAAAATAATAAAAAATGCGCAGCGCGATTGGCAATACAAAGGGAAATAGAAGAAAAGTCGGAAAACGTGATGCGGCCAAGTATTCAAATTTCGTTTTTTCTGTGGCATAAATCCAAAGGGAAAATCGTGCTGAGCTGGTTACATTAAAGATGTCTCATGTATTATTTATACGAGTATCTGAACTAACAAGCCGCAAGTAGTCATAAAAATCCTGCACAGAAATGACCTGTTGATGAGCAGGCCACAACTCGCTAGTTTAACCCTCAATTACCAAAGTCTCGGGGGTGAAATTGAACCACATGAGAGGAACGAGGGGAAAACCTTTCGCACTCCCTGGGGGGTACATTAAAATTTTATCAACTCGGCGATGGTATTAAGAAACACTTGGCACGTTAAATCAATTTGCCATTTTATAAATCTTCATTTCGCACCTGAGACGTGATCCTGGCGCCCAGCAGCCACAGGTGGTCCTGCGAACATCAGGCAAAGGAGCTTTGGGTTAAGCCCCCAGCTGAAACGTGACTCCGCCAGGCAGCCCAGGATTTGCTCTCTTATTTCTATTTATTTTTTGGCAAGCATTTTATTTGCGAACTCATTTCAATTAGCTAAAATGCCCTCTTTCACACCATTTGTCTGATTGTTTTCTTTGACCAAATGTGTGTGTTTGTGTGTGGGTTCATTGCCCATTTTGGGGGCATTTTTAATTTCTATAATGCCTTTTGTGATCTCTGAACGGTCCTAAGTGCACTCGAGTTGCGTATTATTGTTACATTTTATTGTCAACGACAGTGAGCTTTTAAGAAAATTATACAATTGCATTATGACGCCGCACTGACCACTTCGAAGCCTCTGGCTCCCTGACTTTTATTGCTATCTCTAACGATAGAGTTTAAAATTTCCAACGCATTGGAAAACCAGAGGAGGTCCTTTGGGCCACACCACACCCGTTCAAAATAAAAAAGAGCAATCGAGGCAAAAGGGAGTTGTGTACTACAAATCGCTCAACGGGCGGCCCACGAAGGACGACTGTCAATGTTTTCGCCTTTTTGCAGTCGGTGGGTGGCATAATTTATGGCCGCCCATCGTTCCCCGTTCTACGATTTCCCGAGTTTCCACTGCGGTTATTAAAATGCTCAATGCTCTTACCCACACCAAAGACGAGATCCACACTCCGGTTTCGAAGCACGGACTCGGGGACTTCGGGACTCCAGTTCGCATTGTCGTCAGACAACTGCAAAAAGTGTAGCACACTCGCCGGCGCCGACTAATGGCAGTTGAAGGACCAAGAACAATGGGATCTGATCTATCTTATTCCGAGTAAAAAGTAGATAGTTTCAAGGAACTAATTTGAATGATTCTATTTCCAATAATAATTAACTACCTGGGTTTACAGCTTACCTATAAATGGATGTGATTTTAAGGAAATATTAAAGAGTACGTAGATAGAACCTCGAAAAAATTTTTTTTTATGTGTTGGGATATAACCCTTGCTCAAAATTACCTTACTTAAAGAGTCTCTAAGGAAATGATAACCTTTTAAACTTACAAACAAATCACTAGGGTTCTTAAATCACTTGAAAATTACATTTAAGGTGTCTAAAAGTATGCAGTAAATAAAGGATAGTCCTCTTCCTGATTAAGTTTATTATTCTCCAGAGCCTAAAATATGTTGTTGCATACTTTTAGACACTTTAAGTAACAATGAAAAATTATTTAAAAATCTAATAGCTAGTTTTTAAAATGTAGTGTGCTCTATTAAAATGTTAAGACTAAATAATGGTACTTAATTCAAAATATTTTGTATTTAAATTTTTTACATATTGCATTTTCCTCTTATAAAATCTGTACTATATAAATGTAGAGGTTTGTTTGTTTCTTGTATATTTAAAAATTATACCCCAAAAATTGTTCAAACGTACCCACTGTCTAAGCTTCCCTTGCGTCTGATAATCAATAAAATGTTTTGGCATTTACTTTCATTGTTTGCTGCTGATGCTGCTGCCGTTGCAACGCCCCCTCCGCCACGCCCACGCACAAGGACTATATTTGCATATATTTCGAGTGGCAACTGGCAAGGCATATTGCCGGGTTTCAGGTCTTATATCCTGCCGTTCGCCGTGCTCAAGTCCTTTGCCACCGGGCGTGCCTCGTGAATTGTTTCACTGTCGTCGTTCATTTGGGTTGATGTCCCAAAGACTGAGGACACAACATGATGAAAGTCGCTTAATCTACTTAAATGTCTTTGAGTTTAAATTCTCCCCCGCTCGGCCTTTACAGAATCTTACACTGGAACAAAAGTAAACCAAAACATACGGTTCTTAAGGTTATATTATATATTATGTGTTGAACGATGTGAAGGCTTATTGACCGTTGCATTGTACTCCGTGTGTCGGCAGAGCCCCGGAAGAAAAATAATATAATTTAATAAAGCAATCAAACATTTCTGTGACTTCTCTCTACATTATTGTATAGATATCTTTACCTATTAAAATATAAAAAAATATTCTATATTTTAAAAAATGTATTATAGGGACCGTTCAATTCTGCGATTGGTCAGAACTCTGTACTATATTTTATTGTTATATTTTAAATCAAAAATCTTTTAAGACCTAATACATTATAACGTAATAATAATTATTAATCTTTTATTTAAGATATATATTATTTTAATATATTTTTTCTCAGTAATCTTCTCACTGCTTATTGAGACACGACAGCGTCCCCTTTGCGATGGCGTTATTAACATGGATTTATGGCGTATCGTTCGGAGACTTAAGACCGCTATTAGCGCACTAAGATGCAAACAAGCTGAGACCGAGGGAAAGTTTCTAAGGAAGCAGGACGACTCACATGTCAATCAAGACGACTGCAAGGCAACAAAGCAGAAAAACGCAAATTTCAAATGAGAATTCGCTGGGCGAAGCTGAAAAGGTAGC